AGCTCTCACTTCTCTCTAGATATATACTCTATCACCTATCATTCATAAATAAGTTTTCGTCTTTAAAAAAACAAAGTTTATATATGTGTGTACGTGATGGTTCTTGTGAGAAATGATTCTTAGGAGAGAAATATGAATGATATCTAGCCATTCATATCATTCATCCAATGGACGGTAAAAAGCAAATCAAAATTGTATTTTCGACCATATTGATTTGTGCAAAAGAAAAGTTCCATAATGTATTTGATATTAATGGATTTTTTCATTAATGTTAAACAATAAGAACAAAGCTTGCACATGTAGTGCTATTGTGAGAATCATCCTGAAAATTAAGGAACTTATTTATATCCTAATAACTAAGTTCATTTATATAAATAAAATGGTACGTTCTTAAAAACTAATTTAATTTTAAATTTGTTCATTACTATTCAAGATTAATGTTCCTTTTGTGAAACTAAATCTTTCCTCGATGAATTAATTTTGCTAATTTGCACTACAGTGTTGATCAAATGCACTTTTAATTGAAGTTTCCTGCACCATTAATTCCATTATCGAAGCATGTTTTACTTTCCAAAATAAATATTATGTAGTATGTCATATTTAAAAAATTTCTTTTCTATGCATCAAATCGTGAGTGCACAGTAAATATTTGTATTTCGTATATGCCACTAAAAACTCTATTCGAATTATGCATTATTTTTTATGTTTAATCCTTTTCTTTTCAGATGTAATATTTCATTGGTTGTGTGTCTGCAATCCAACGTAGAATAGGTGCACTTTTGCTCGATATTTTATGCAACATTTATTCTGCTTTTTCTTATTTAATTTTCTTTCAAAATTTAATATTTTCTTACACAATGATCGGGTAACTAACTTGAAAAAAACTCATTGTTAGAATTGTGCATTACTAGTATATTTTTCATGTTTGCCAATGTGCACTTTTAACGATCTGCACTTTTATTCAATATTGTATGCAACATCAGTTTAATAAAATATTTGGATGTTGATAACTTGATATGCACGTTGATGTCATTTGCGTGCACTTTCTATACCATTATACTCCCTCCGTTCTTTTTTAGTTGCAACGGTCAACATTTCACATTTACCGACGCATGTCTTTGACCATAATTATATCTTAATTCTATTAGTAAAAAAATATTAAAAATCAGATTTTGAATATTTATAATGAGATGAATTGAACAATATTTAAAAAAAATCATAAAATAATAGCGTAAAATGTAGTCAAAGTAGAGCATGTGAATAGGGGTGGACCGGTTCCGGTTCGGGCCCGGTTCGGGCCTGGACCCGGCCGGGCCTCGGTTCATGAAGGGGAGGCCCGGAACCGGCCCGGGTAACCCCCGGGTCCGGGCCAGGCCGGGCCTCGGTTCTATTTTTTTTTTTTTTGGCTTTTCCTAGTTAACCCCCAACCCTCCCCCCTCACCCCCAAACCAACCCTAACCACCTCAAATGGCCTAAAATACCCAACCCACCCCAAAAACTAAAAAAAAAAAAATCAAAAAAATAAATAAATAAATAAATAAATAAATAAATTGGCCCGGCCCGGGCCCGAACCGGCAGGGCTGTTCACCTTTTGAAGGGCCCGAGCCTGAACCGCCATCCCACTGGGCCGGGTGGCCCGAACCGGTCAACCAACCGGTTCACCGGGCCGGTTCTGGGCCGGTTGGCCCGGCCCGACTGATGTGAATAATGTAAAATTCAACATGTTGCGATTAAAACGAAACAGATGATAGTAAGACACTATGTGAATGTACCTTTGGACTTCCATACAATTTGTAAATCAAAATGATTTAAATAAAATGAAACTAAATATACTGAGGGTTACATTTGAACTAACAACTATCAGTGGCGGAGCCACATTAGTTCAAATTTGTTTACATGAACACCTAGAATTTTGAAAAACATGTTAGTATACATGTATAAATTTAATTTAATTATTCATTGTCTTCTCAAATTTTAATTATAGAAAAAAATGAACACCTATTGAATCATAGATCCACCATTGACAACTATCAGGGCCGGCCCTGGTGGTGTGCAAGGTGTCCAACCGCACAGGGCTCAAAAAAATTGGAAGGGGCCATTTTTTTTGTAGTAGTATACAACTACCTCCGTCCCGCTATGATTATCTCATTTTACCTTATAGGTCCGTCCCATTAAGATTGTCTCATACCAAATTTGGTAAAATTTGTGTGGCTCTAAATCATTCTTACTTTATTCTTACTTTATCAATTCAATATCAACCACATAAACCATTTTTTATTAATTTGTGTGTTACTTCCTCTTGTCCCAATGTTAGCGGGACGGAGGAAGTAGTATTACTTAGGTGGACTAGGACAAGGCTTTGAAGCAGGCCTGGTTCGTCACTTCGCGTATTCCTCATCTGCAAAGGAGAAGCGAGCGAGGCATGCATGATTTGAACCCAGGTGAAAATAAAAGCATGCACACTGATTTCTAAACATCAACCACCGGACCAAATCAACTAATTGTTGAAATACGGGCGTACAAGTTTTATATTACCTATTTGTTCTACAAAATAAATAATTAAAATATCTCTTAATAAAAATCGATTCAGTTCGGTTTGAATCGATTTTATAACTCAAAAAACCTTCATTAAACCGATTTATGTTCGAACCCCGACTTTTGGGTCCCGTTTGAGTCGGTGCGGTTTCGGTTCGGTTTTTTTAACTTGTGTTGAAACTTTGAAAAGAAGGCTCAATTATTTTTTCTGCACAGGGTCTTCATTTCCTCAGGACCGGCCCTGACAACTATCATGTGCATTTTAAACATACACAAAAGTGCACTATTGTAACGTCAACTATATTTTTTTAATATACACTAAAATGCACTTTAGTGATATGATTTTTTAGTAAAATGAAGTTCCCTTATTCACTTTCAAAGTGCATAATTTTTTTACGTGCTAGTCGTATCTTTTTCTTTTTCTTGCACGTATGTTAATAGTGAAATTCAAACTTTACAATTGAATAAGAATAAATATATAATATCAAATATACAAGTAAATACTAAATGAAATATGAAGTATAATCAAATAAAATTAAAGCACGACTGTTGAATGAAAAATATGTTGAAGTTATGGTCAACTTTTGAAGAACACGGTACACGTTGAAATATTTAACACGCCAATTTTCTAAGAAATCCAAAACTTTATGATTATTATTTAAGAAAAACTTTGAAAAAAACACTCCTTAGAGCATCCTCATTGGGAGGATTATTATGAGATTAAATTGGTGACATGATTGTTTTTTTAGAGAATTATCATTGAGTGATATAGATTGTTTAATGGGATTATTTGCTACAATAATCTGGGATCAAAATATGAATCTCGATTATTTTAAGATTATTTGAAAAGTATATGTAATAGAAATTAATGCAGGACAGAGAAAAAACATATTATTTGAAGATGATGAGTGAGAGACATAAACGAATTTTGTGATTATTTTATAATTAATTACATGACAATATTTAAATGGTAAGAATCATAAAAAAATTGATTATTAGAGATCATGAATGGTGATGGTCTTAATAGTTTATGAAAGATATGAAAATTAGAAGATAGGAGTAACCAAATATCTACCAGATACTTTAGAAGGAAAGAGTATTAATTGATGACTTCGTATACAAAAGGAAGGAGTGGAAATCACATATCATAGAAAGAAAGCTGAAAAGAGCTTAATCTAACGGTGTAAAGATCTTTCTCATTGTGCATCTCAATATATTAAGACACTTGCCATAATTTCAACCACTACTGATTAAAATGAAAAACTTCTAAATGAACTCGGTATGCTTAGGAAGATAAGTGCACAACTAGTATATGTAAAGCACCCATAATACAAATCAATCGTAATGCTTAGAAAATCACACTTTTAGTCTATGAAATAGTCACCATATAGAAATGTCAGATCCGTATTTATGAGATTGTAAATGATATCCCTCAATTGTTCAAATTGCTGTAAATGTGATCCTTTGATGGGTGAAATGTACTCTTCGCCCACATTGTATATTTCATCCTTCAAATGATCACATTTACAGCAATTTGGACAATTGATGGATGACATTTACAAACTGAGGAACATGGGTATGACATAATTTTCAATATGGTGATTATTTTAGGAACTAAAAGTGTAATTTTCTCAACATTTAATAGTTAATACGGAGTACAAGTTATTGCTTTCCTTAATATTTGGGATTTTGATAGTTAATGGAATTGCAAAATTCAACCATCAGATCAAAGATTTCAACAGCTATTCTTTTTTTTTTCATTTCTCACCGGAACCGCTTATATAGTAGCCACATGAGTAATCTAAATCTCCAAAAAACAAATGGTTTATATTCTTTCTCATTTCTCTCCTAAGATGATTTTCTCATTTGAATTTTGAACCTAAATCTACACACATGTGTGTAAATTTAAAAATAATTTCATTACCAATTTTCAATATAATTTCACACCCCAACCCCTAAATATGATTAAAAATTTAAATATAAATTTAACAATACATTTCTAATTTTCCTATTGAATACAATTATGAATATGATTAGAAATTTAAATATAAATATCAATGTAGATATAATATGAATATGATATAGAGTTTTCATCAGCATTTAATTTGAACATTTCTAATTTTTCTATTGAATACGATTATGAATATGATTAGAAATTTAAATATAAATACCAATATAAATATAATATGAATGTGATATAGAGTCTTCATCAGCACTTAATTTTGTTCAAAGGGATTAAGGTGATGCAAATATATTTACCCCTAATATTTGTTATCATATAATATGAGTTATTAAAAGAATATGAATGTGATAAAAATAATTAGTTATTAGTTGTTTCTAAGGAATTTCAATAGTAACTTTTTACATTATTTGGAATATTTTTTATATAACTTATCTAGTGTAATTTTAATACTATTTGTTCATATATAATCAATAATTTATGCCTTTTTAACAATTTACATAAAACTAATTATCAACTGCAATTCATCCTTCATAAAAAGTAAAAACAACAATTCATCCAAACACTTTAAACTAATTCTCTATTAGATACAACAGAATCAATATCAAATACTTCTAATACAATCCCATTTCACACACCAAATTAGCCGGTTGAAAAATAACCGATTAGCAGTGCTGTTTTCAGACCTGATTGAGGTTTCAGTCTTTCAGATTCAAAAACAAGACTGGGTCCACCGTTCACTTGTTTAAAATCAAGACTGGGTCCATGCCTAGTTAAGGGCTCAATTGAGCAAACAAGCAAGAGCTCAAATCTTAAGGATATGGCTTTGTAGGTTCTACTAAATTACCCTTTGTCCATATGATAATACCAAATAGTAACCACATAGTATATGACTATATGTAACGGCTTTTTCGAATTATGAACCTTTGGTTTCATGTGAGTTTATAGCTCTTCGAAGAAACAATACAAGTCGCCAAAAGAACAGATATGTGTTCCCAGAGTGTCTTGCATGACTGCATGAGAAAGACAACCTTGATGACCTTAACTCCGCTTCGTATTCGATCCAAGAAATGTTGGACTTTAAAAAATCAGCATGATGGCAGTATATATTGCTTGATATTGTACATCAGCATAGACAGGACAAAATCTTGAAATAGAAATTGAAGAAAAATATCAGCATTGCCTCCAGTCCTGCCCTGCATAAACTGCTTGATCCCCGAGTTCCTCTTCAATTCTAATCAGCTGCGTTAAAATCATACATGGAGCATTATATCTCTCAGAAGAAAGCAGCAATATATGCCCCCTGAACTTGTCACTAAAGAACATATATGCCCTTAAACTTTACTTTTGTGCAAATAGCTTTAAAATATTTGAAAGAAGGGCAATCAGCCCCTTTTATAAGGGTGAACCAATTAACGGAGTTGGCAACTATGTAGTACGTAGTATAGTATTACTTACTCTTTTGGATACTATATGACCGTGTATTGCAAATATATAAGAATCAACACTAATTTCTTATTTCGTTCGAACGTAAAATTAAATAACACCGCATCGGTCGCAATAGCCGCAACCGCAGTGACCGTAATCGCAATGCTACCCAATAAAAAACATTGATATAGATTAAAGAGTAAATATATGATATATGATGATGGATAATTTAATATATAGTCTTTACAATGTAAAAAATTATTATTGTTTGTGGTTAGATCATAGTAAAAATGTGTCATGTTTATTTTTCTGTTGGTTACTTTTATTGTTGTAAGACTCTTGCATTAGTATTGGGTGATGAGAGGTCTGCTTTAACCGTCGTTGGCTCATTTATGCCCATTATAGGATCAACGAGTTATATTGCTTTTCTGGAGGTGATCGACTCTAAGTTTGGTTCGAGGGCTGACGGTTGCTTGTGTTCCTTTGATCATTTTATGCCCTATCTGAATGTTGTGATATCAATTTAAGCCATTCATTTTGACGATAAAAAAAATCCAGGGAACCCAATAAGCACTCCAATGATCTGAAAAACACACCAATAATAATTGCGGCCGGATGCATGCGGCGTTGTTGCTTTCTTCGCGAATTTTCTCCGTGATTCGAAAACACACCGGTATAGCAGCCTGATGCGGTTGTGCCGCCGCCCGTGACCCAAGAAAAATCACACTCCATCTGTCCCCTAACTTTGTCCCCTTTTATCTTTTTTGTCCGTCCCATTAAGTTTGTCCCATACCATATTTGGTAATATTTGAATGGTTACAATTCATTCTTACTTTATTCACACTTTATCAATTCAGTATCAAACACATAATTCTACTTTTTCTTAAAAGTTGTGCCACACCTCTTTGTCACAAACATAGTGGGACAGCGGTAGTATGTAGTATTATGTCTCGGTTTGATTTGATTCGGTTTGGATTTGTTATGTGCTAAAATTATTGTCCAAAGTTTGACATCATTGACCAAGAAAAGTCGATATGACGAACTTTTTCGGACGGAGGTAGTATATGAAAAAACAACTAAAATGTTCTGCTAATTTATGGAAAAAAATATATACGATATATCTTATTAAAAAAATATTTATGATATATCTCATTTTTTTCTTATTATAACACAATTTAGCGCACGGAATTAAAATTGAAGTATTTGGTGAAAAAAATAGTTGATAAGCCGAAAACAGAATCATCAAATGGGCAATTAATTTTTTTTGGAAAGACACTTAATCCTTAAAAAGTAAATTAGTAAGTAATTTGTTATTGTAATCATGAATTTATTCATAGGATGCTTATGAAAAAACACTTTTCATATTTGATTTGTTATACCGGAGTAAATGCTAGTCAAAGGAGCAACTTTAACGTACAGTTGGTTCACCGTTAAACATAGGGGGGTAATTGCCCTTATTTCACATATTTTAAAGCTTTTTGCACAAAAATAAAGTTTAAGGGCATATATGCTCCTTGATGACAAGTTCAGGGGGGAGTTTTGCCCTTTTTCCCATAATAATTTACCTAAAAACAAATGTATGTAATAAAGGCTCTCACATGTCTTAACCAGATGTCAACCCCCCTTTTAGTTGTGAACATATATCGATCCATTTTTATATTTTGTGAAGAACAAGGTGTTATTTGGTAAGACGTTAAGAAACTTGATGTTATCAAATGCATGTATAATTACATGTACACTATAAATATGCTCTCCCTCTCTCTGTACTGCCAAAAAACCATGCTTCAAAAGTTCAGTTGTCTACAAAAAGACTCCAATTTGCTCAAACAAATCTAATAAACATAAATTAAAAATAGAGAAAAAGTGTCGGATTGGCCCTCGTACTTTGTACAGAAAGTCGATTCAGCCCCCGTACTTTAAGTTTCTATCAATTAGGTCCTCCAACTTTGTAATTTTCGTCAAAACCGACTTTTAGCAGGTAACCCTCCGGTCAGCAAGTTATCTGCTGATGTGGGACACACGTAGCATGATGTAGCGCTTACGTGGCAGGCCATGTCATTTTCCCTTTTCTTTTTCCTTTACATTTTTTTTTCTCTTTCCCCGCTACCCCTTTCTTCTTCCTTGCGCAGACCACTGGAAAGTCCAGCAGAGTGTTCATCAACACGCCATCGACAACCAAGTCGTCTGACGGCGACCAAATCCATGCCCTCGCCGGTGCATCCATCTGTCCCAGTCCTTCACGGGCTTGTCAATGGTGTACCCAAAATTCGGGTCGTCGTAGAAAGTCTTCGCCGGCGGGTCATCTCTGAGGTCAAGGCCCTGTCCAGTCCAGAGCCTCCAAAGCAGGCTTGCTCGCCGACGACGCCGGAGGCACTGGGGGTAATATAAGACCATAAGCTCCACAGAACAAGGAAAACTCCCTAGGTTGTCGCCAGTGCAAAGAAAACACCCTAGGTTGGTCTTGTTCTTGCCGGCAGCCATTTGAATCCGGTCCATCTCAGAATCATCTTCTTGCTCTTTAATTAGAAGATTCTTTTATAGAAAAAGTGGATTTATTTTAAAAGTATAAAGGATTTGAGAAAAGAGATTGAGAAAACGGTGTTCAAGATGAGAACGAAAAGGTAAAAGGAAAAGGAAAAAAGTGGCATGGCTGCATGGCTTGCCACGTATACGTCGTGTCAGGCCACGTATGCACCACGTCAATTCCACGTGTGCGCCACATCAGCAGGTAACCTGCTGACCGGCGGGTTACCTGCTAAAAGTCGATTTTGTCGAAAACTACAAAGTAGGAGGACCTAATTGACGAAACTTATAGTACGGGGGCTGAATTGACTTTCCGTACAAAGTACGAGGGCCGATTTGACACTTTTCTCTTAAAAATATGATAAACTTGGTTAAGCCAACAAAATAAATTTCAAAACTATGTCCAATTCCATAACTTTTAAGAATTTTGCCTGCAAATATAAAAATAGTTGGGTCTTGATCAAGCAAGACTCATTTTTATAGGACTGAGAGTATTTAATTACTAAGTACATTATATGTTAATATGTTATTACTGTCTACCCAACTCCACAATACTGTAATGTTTAGCAACACATGCCCCTATTATGATTGCTGCGTTACTGGGCAACCTACATGTTTTATATACTCAAAATATTATGATTGCTGTGTTACTCGGGAAGCCTTAAATATGCATATGTTTGATGTGACACGTTTGAAAGAAATGACACAGTGTGAAGCGCTCTAAGAAACAAACCTGGTTGTACTTGGCCAGTCGCTCTCCACGGCAAGGTGCTCCTGCTTTAATCTGACCTATCGCAAGGCCAACGGATAAATCAGCTATGAATGTGTCCTCTGTTTCACCACTCCTATGGGATATCATCACTCCCCAATGGGCATCCTTAGCCATCTTCACTACTTCAATAGCTTCAGTTACAGTCCCAATCTGATTAATCTAAATACCGTCTCAACTATGTTAAAATATGGTTAAGATATCTAGATATGTTCAACTATACCATGGAGAGATGTAAATATGGTCAAATGTGCCCTTTTATTAGAAATTCAAACACTGATAAGCACACACCTTTAAAAGAAGGGCATTACACGCATTTTCCTGTATGGCCCTCTCAATACGTTTAGGATTCGACATTAATAAATCATCTCCAACTACCTGAAAGAAAAACAACAAAGGACAATATAACAAAATCTGGATTGGAATCTCCAGTAACACTTAACAGCATAAAATATGCTAACCTGGCATATTCCAAGGCCAGAAAAGTTCTTCGTATGTTCCCAGTCTTCTTTGTCAAATGGATCTTCAATTGATACAATTGGATACTCTGATGCAAATAAAATGGACGTAGATGGTAAAAAAGAATGAAAATTGACTCTCCAAGTTTAACAATGGTAAATAGTATCTTCCTAGACAACATATTGTGATTTACCTGTACAGAGTTCACTGTACAACTCAGCCATATTCTCCCCTGACTTAAAATTTTGTCCTGATTTATTTGGAGTTTTAAAATCCAAATCATACTTTGTGCCTAACATTGACAACGTATTAAAATCACTTGTCAGTAAAAGGGTTACATAGGCTATACAAACAAGAGAACAGTAAAATATTACCTATGCAAAACTGAGTAGCAGCAGCATCAATAGCAATTTTAATTTTCTCGTTGTATCCTGTTCTCCCTACAGCCTCCTCAATAAGGTCAAGAGCTTCTTTAAAGCTGCAAATACAACTTTCCAAATATCAAAAGCTTGTTAAGATGGCTAACTCAAGCAAGTCAGAACTTGCCTTGATATGTTTGGAGCCAACCCACCGTCTTCACCAACATTGCATCCATGTGCACCACATTTCTCTGCTATAACTGCCTGCCATTAAAATTACAAATGTTGAACTCAACGAGTATATACCATATATTGACTACAAATAGGGAAAGAATCTTAAGCATTATCATCTTCTATTTCCCTAGTGTGTCACAATAGACAATAGGGATATGTAGATCCATACTTATAATATTACACTAATCTAAACAGGCCTATTAAATAACAATTTTTTAGCATTTATGAGCAGTACATGTCAATATTTTCAATGAACTTATAACAATGTTGCTTTTTCCTTATTTTGGATTATCATAACATGGAATGGATAAAATTGTTATGCCTCCAATGATAGAATCTCGAAAAGTCAAGAATGTCAAAATTTAAACAATGTACAGTTCATAATTTATCAACAGCGATTGGCGACAGAAACATATCAAATGGAAAGATCACATGATGTGCAATTTTGTAGCATAAAATCACCTTCAAATGATGATAGGTTTCAGAGCCCATTTGCAATGCCTCCTCAAATCTTTTTGCTCCCACAGGGAGAATCATAATTCCCTGAAGCATAAAGCAATAGTTAGATGAGTTTTAATAATAATACACAATAAATTGCTAGAAGAGTAAGAGTTATATATAGAGGTAAGTGGACAACCAAAGATGACTAAGCTTTTGAAAGAGTGAATGATACAGAAATCGATTTGTAAATCATTCAACTAAAAAATTGTCCCATGCCTCCTGTTCTTAGTAAGCAGATATACATGCAGTTTATGCTTATCTGTAGATAAAGGAGGAGAAACACCAACCCGTATAGCTAAGTTGTTTCCTGCATGCTGTCCACCACTTATGAGAGTGAAGGCAGGGACAGGAAGAAGCAGGTTGGTTTTTCCAGAAAGATCAGCAATGTGTTTGTAAAGTGGGACCTGAAAATAATGTTCATTCAAATACATCATAGTTTGTTTGAAAAGATTAAATTATCGAAATGCTAAACTAAAAGGTGCATGCCTCCTTTTCAGCAGCTCCAGCTTTGCAAGCAGCCATAGATACAGCTAAAATGGCATTTGCTCCAAGATCTCCCTACATTCATGCAAAATCACAAAGACTGGCATTAAAAGCCGTATTGTATGCAATCCATATAACTCACAGCTTCAAAGTCACAAAACCTTGAGCTTTGATTCATATTTAACTATTCAATGAGATAATACTTTGCCTTGCATTAGCAAATAGAATTATCAACTGACCCTATGACAGTAGAATCGTCCTGAGGATAGTTTACCTTCTTATCTGTTTTATCCAAATCTATCATAGCCTGATCAATTTGAGACTGAAGTGTTGGATCCATACCAATCAAAGCTTCAGATATTTTCTCATTAATATTCTTAACTGCTTTACTCACACCATTCCCAAGATACATCCCTCTGTCTGCATCACGTAACTCGATAGCCATGGCCTCATACCTGAATTTGAGAAACACAATAATATTAGATCACATTGCTTCATTGGCAGCGGTGGAAGAAGCTTCCCATGATTTAAAGTGAGGCGAAGTGGCTATATTCCAAGAAGTCCATCACTGATATGATACTCACAGAGTCCATCCAACTATGGCATGGATTTAAATGTTTCAAACAAATTAAAATTAAAACAGAATTTGAAATGGACGGCTAATTAACATGGTCAGATACTCAGATGGTCTCCAGATGTCTCTGGAAAATTGAAAGCTTCATGCTAACCTCGAAATTGTGAGGAATTAAATATTCAGGTAATGCAAAAGTCTTACATTCCCAAAGAAGCACCACTGGGAGAAGAAGCTCGAAACATGCCTTTATTTGTGTACAAATCCACTTCGACTGTAGGAATTCCTCTGCTGTCGAGAATTTGCCTCGCTTTCAGCTTAGTAATCACCGAAGGCACCGCTTTTCTCATATGATTAGACTGTAACCAGTGAGATAAAAAGAATCACTAAATGAAAATCGAAAAAAAGTCGGTATGCGTTTCATTCAGAGAAGAAAACTAGAGCATACGATGAAGAGGACGGGATCGTTAGTTTTTGCCCGGACGGCAGCATTGACGGCGTCTTCGATTTTCCGGGAAAGCATGTGCTTATCCAGATACTCCTGCACTGACATTTTGTCGTTCTCGTAGGGGTGAAGACTCTGGAGAGCTGAAGGCGATTTTTTCTTATGATCCGTCTGATATCATTGGAATTGAACGGCGGGAGGACAGGGTTTGGCAGCCGGGTGCTACAATTTCTACTGCTGCGGTCGGAATTCCTACGGATACCGGCTTCCGTATACCGGAGTCCAAATGGTTAAAAGTGAAACTTTTGTACTCCTAATTGTGTGTAGTGGTACTTTAAAGGAAAATGCTTAGTGTACACAAACGGTACACAAAACTTTCCTAGTTGTCTGTGTACACGGGCAGTTCATTTAGAAAAAGGCATAATTTGATACTCAATTGCCTGTGTACACAAGCAATGTATACATTTTGTGTACATCTTGTGTACACGATATAGAGCGGGAAGAGCATGGGGCGGGACCGGGCTTGGGCCCACTTCCGTGAGCCGGGTTAGGGTTGTCGTTATAGTTTAATTATTATTATTATTAATTTAATGTTATGTTTTAGTTTGAGCCTATTATTAGTAGAGTAGTTAGTTGAGTTAATTTGGGCTTAATTGGAGTTTAATTAATTTGGGCTTGATTAGGGTTTCTTGTAGAAGGCTATTTATACCTCTTGTCAAGGTTCATTCTGATTATCTTGGAATAAAGTTGCTAGGGTTCATTCTGATTATCTTGGAATAAAGTTAGAGTTTAGCCTTTTGACTTTGGGCAACGGTATTTTTATCGTTGATTATCTGGGTAACGGTTCACCCTGTTGGTTTCTATTTTTTTGCTACACATCAATTGGTCCGACCTGCCTGATCCCGTCCCGCCAGGATGACGAGATCTCAAAACGATCGATTGACAGAGTTAGAGACCGAGCAACACCGAATGGGAGAGGAGCAAGCCCGATTGAGGGAAGAGCAAACTCGAATGGCGATTGAACAGAATCGGATGAATCACACCCTCGAAGAACACAGCATGCGGCTGGCTGAAATCGCCACCTCTCTGGCGGCGCTAACCCAGGCCCTTGTGCCGCCGATCTCGCCGGAAATTTCTACTGCTGCGGTCGGAAGTGCTGTTGTGACAGCACCCATCGCCGACAACCTGCCGCCGATATCACATGCAGCTTCCTCGGCTGCGGTCGGAAGTGCGACCGTACCAACGGTCAACGACGACGGACTACCCAGCGCAGCCACCACTCTCCTTCCCTCGTTCGACAATGAAGACCCCATTGGGTGGCTGGCGAGAGTGGAGCAACAGTTCGAGCTCAACAGCACCCCACCGGACCGACAAGTTGCAGCGGCTAGGGTTTCTATGGAAGGGGCGGCCCTCTATTGGGTGCTTGGTTGAAGGCACGCAAACCCAGCATGTCTTGGGAGGAATTTAAGCAAGCCTCGGTGGCCAGATTTGATTCCCGATATCAGGGAAACAAGTTTGAACGGTTGCCCGGCGTCAAACAAATTAGGTCGGTGGAGGAATACAATACCTTGTTTGTTCAACTGGCTAGTCAAGTTCCGGGATTGACCGACGATCATTATTTGGGCTATTACATGAGTGGACTTAAGGAAGCAATCCGAAGTTCGTTGCGATTACTCCGGCCAGAAAACATGGAGACGGTCATGGAATTAGCTCGCGATGTGGAGCATAATTTGTCCGTCCAAAGTGGAGGAAGTGGCAGCCCGAATTATAATTCTTCAGGGGTACGTTCCAGCAGCTTTTTAATGGCAAACACTGGTCCTCCGTTGACTACCAGTGGTGGTAGCTTGCAGGGATCAAGGGGCAGCTTTGCGAAGGATAGTGGACTGCCTTCGGGGACGAAGTCAGGGCTGTCCGGGCAGCCTACAACACGCTCTCAGTTCACTCGTCTTCCGCCAAAGGAGTTCGCAGAATTAAGGGCGAAAGGATTATGCTTTAGGTGTAAGAAATCATTTACACCGGGGCATGACTGTCCCTTTAAGCAGCTACGAGTAATGATAGCCGAGGAGGATGAAGAGTTAGACCTCCAACAGCATGGATACTATGAAATAACTGGTCAGGAAAGAGAGGAAGGATATTTTCCAGTCTATTCTATGTCTGGAAATTTCAGTTCCCCGTTTGAGAGATTTCAACCTTGAGGACAAGGTTATTTTGAAGGGGGTGGATTGATAGAGAGCGGGAAGAGCATGAGGCGGGACTGGGCTTGGGACCACTTCCGTGGGCCGGGTTAGGGCTGTCATTATAGTTTAATTATTATTATTATTAAGTTAATGTTATGTTTTAGTTTGGGCCTATTATTAGTAGAGTAGTTAGTTGAGTTAATTTGGGCTTAATTAGAGTTTAATTAATTTGGGCTTGATTAGGATTTCTTGTAGAAGGCTATTTATACCCCTCGCTAGAGTTCATTCTGATTATTTTGGAATAAAGTTAGAGTTTAGCCTTTTGGCTTTGGGTAACGGTATTTTTATCGTTGATTATCTGGGCAACGGTTCACACCGTTGGTTTCTATTTTTCTGCTACACATCAGTACACCAAGCATGGCCCTAGTTTAAAATAAGTATTAAAAGTGGAAAAGGTGATGGAAAGGGTTATATATAGAGGGTGTTTTGAGAGGAGTGGAAAAAAAGGAAAAAGAAAGAAAAAAAAGAAGAAAAATAGTACGGAGTAAAATTTTATGAAGGGTTGCTTTTGGTGAATCGATGTCGTGCTGACATCATCGTTGCATCATAATATCCCAATTTTTTAGAAACTTGTATAACTTTTTTATTTATTCTACAAATTTTTCAAAATATATATCAAAATTCATAAAATTTTATGATCTTTCATATGACACCAATATGTAATATATAAAATGAAACAAAAATTCATAAATTTTAACTGTTGAAGTTTTCTTCAGTCTAAACAACGATGAAACACAAATTTTTAATTCATGGAATCTTCACAAATAACTTAATACAAGTATTTCATAATCGAACTTTACTTGAACTAAGTTCATTTTTATTAACTGTAAATATTAAAAAAAAAAGATAATGAAATTTATTTATTTTTACATCAAAATGTGTATTTTTTATTTCACGATTATTTAGGGAAAATATTAAACGGAAAACATTATTTATAATAAATTAATTATTGTTTTACTAAATTGATATGTAAAAAAATATGTTGAGTGTATTTTATTGAAGGTGCACGGATGTAGGGAAAAACAGTATTGACGGAGTCGAAACACTGTTTTCATATGGACAGAGTCCAAATTTTACAATTTGGACTCCTAACCACTACAAATGGGGGTCTCTGTTGGGCAATTTATATCCTACGCACGGGTGTACATGTACACCCGGTTTTTTTAAATCATAGCAAGTTTTAGGATAGTTAATAGGCTGAGCTAAGTTGCTTCTGTTTTTTTCCCTCACATGTGTGCTTCCTGCGTTGCCCTTTCCGAACGTGAGTGGGGTTGATCCTTTTTATTCTCATCTCCTTTCTAGCTACTTTAATGTTTATGCTTTCTTTTTAATTTTTTTATTCTCCTTTCTTTTATTGTTTTTTATTGTTTTTTCTCTTATCTTTTTTGTTTTTGTTTTTTAGTAATCGTATACTTTAAAGTTATATTCTATTATTATGAAAATGTATAATATAAAATATTATAAAATCTATATTTTATTTTAAACTCAAATGAGTAGAACGACTAAATAGAATGAACATACACAAATGAGCTTTTGGATTTTTGAAAACTCATTTTGTAAGTTATGTACGGACGAGTACCTCTGTTATGCTCATTTTAAAAAGTTATATTTATGCATATTTCAAAAGTTTCATATTGCATTAGATTCACATAGAAGTAGATTATAGACACGAGACCACAAATCATCTTCCTCTATACAAAACGAAGTGGAATTGCTGCTACTTTTCCCGCCCAAACTATCGGGTCAAAAACGGGTCAAAAGTGGACAATTCGTTTTTGTGGTCTGGGGCCCACTTCAGTGTGACATTTCGTACTTTTGTGGTCATTCGAATTGCAGAGAGTTGTTGAGCATTTAACGAGTTAGGTGGCATTCAATGGAGTGGTTGAGAGGGGCGAGGTCTATTACACATTGGATATTTCAGTTTTCATTGCAAACCATAAAAATTCTAATCTATTGTTTTAATAGTAAAGCTCAGTTTTAAAAGGTTTATGTGTCACAAACTTATTGGTTAAGAGAAATTATATTAAAACTCCACTATTAGAGCATTTAATTTAAATAACGAATGCTCCAATTTCAGTTCTAATAGAACTCCACTCAACTACCGCTACAAGCCTAATAGAACTCCAGTAGAACTATGATTTTATCTGCAAACACTCCCAAGTCTATTACAACTCAAACTTCTTGCTTTATCCTCCATCGAATAACATGTATAAATAATAAACAATTAGTGCAGCAATGAGCGTATATCATAGCAATTAACACATCACAAACAGAGAGTATTTAGACTACAAAAATGGAGATTTCTCACCAATTTTCCATGGTGCGATACGATTGCATCAACGAGATCTCAAATCGAAAGCAAATTTGATCTTTACGCGCAAGGCTGGTCACTCATTGAGATAGCTTTCGTCAGTCCAATCCGAATCAATTTATTTCTTACGAACTACTTTTAATTGATGAAAAAGTATGTTTAAATTGCAGCAAATTTATATATTTATTACTTATGTTTTGCGTATGAATATCTCAAAGTAATGACAATTTTGTTTTAATAGAAGGTTGATGTGTCACAAAATAATAATAGTAACTCTTTCTGTCTTTTCCGTGTAAACTCTGCTCGCTAAAAGAGAAGAACTTTATCAAAATTCAAAGTACAATCTTTTTAGACTATTATTTCACAAAACATGATATTTCAACAGAAGAGAGGAGAGAATGAAACTAAATATTTGCGTGACAGGGGAAAAAGATCATTTGATGCAAAGAATAATAAACGAAGTGATAAATTTATAAAGGTATAAATGGTTTTTACACAAATTTCTTTTGGATCACCAGTCTATATCATTATACATATCTAAGATTTAGCAAAATAAAAATATTCTTTTGATTAGTTTTTTACACGGTAATAAACTTATATTTTAAATTCACAAGACATAAACAATTGGATTAATGGCATCTCAGTAAAACTTTTTGATGGATAGTGTACTCGGGGGTATATATCCGAGGGATTACTGCGGGGAGTAACTAGAGAGAAGTTAGAGCAAACAAGTAAGAGAGAATATGTATTCAGTGTGAATTCAGCATATTCAGAATATGGTTTACAAAGGGGAAATGGGGTGCTATTTATAGTAGCAATAAATGCGAGATGGGGACACGTGTCAAGCATCCAACGGCCGAGGGGTCACATCAACCGGGTGTCACTGGTATTCGCATGTAGCCGCATTTAATGCGGCGGTTGGATGTGACGTTGTACTTGGTACGGCGATCCAGGCGCATGTGGAGAGGATATTCTTGTCGAGGAAGGTACCCTCGGCTGTAGATGATTAGCCGAGGGCTCTTCTTGTCGAAGGCCCCTTAAGACCGAGGGCTCCAGGTGCCGAGGGCTACTGATTTTCGCCGTTTTCTCCCAGTAGCTTTGTATGCTTAAAATAGCCTTTCTATGAGAATTTGGAGCCTTCGGCCAGGGGGGCGAAGGCACCCCTGTGTGCTCCATGGGTTGCTTGGTACCCGGGGCGCTGCGATTTGGGCCTGCTGTGCTTCCTAGGCCTCTTGGGCTTTTATTAGGATAGTAGGAGTCTATGGGCCGGGGGTCCTTGGGCCATATACTCCATCAGGAGTCCCTCACTCCTTTTGCCGAAAGGTACCTGAGGGAAAAGGAGTAATTTGTGCTTGTCCTCTGCCGTTGTTCCGTTGTAGCTTGTAAAGTTGTGAGGAGTTCTCTGTTTGAATGTTTTTGCCGAAGGCAGTCCCTCAGTCCCCCACATTTTGGGACTCGAAGGGTTGTGTTGCTACTTTGGGGAGTTTTTGATATTTTGAGATTTTCCCGAAGGGGTTCTCAAGTCCCCCACTCATTGAGGCACTTGTGAAATGGTGAAAAGGAGTACAGTATTGCCTGTTGTTGTAGGTGGCCGAAGGTTGACACTTTTCGTTTCATTTTGGGGGGATGCCTCGTTAAAAACCCCATTAGAAAAAACCCTATGGGAAAAAATTCTAATGAGGGAAAAAGAGTGCACCGAATTCCCCCAATGATGAATCGAAAAGGTGAAACCTTGGTCTGAGACTGACGACAGTGTTGTAGCCGAAGGCTATCCTTGTCTGAGGGCGCATGTGTTGATTTGCCGAAGGCGCGCTGTTGATATCCCGGGAGATGCCGAAGGGGAGTCCCTCAGTCCTTGGGGCTGAGGGCGTGCTGGATGCGAGTGGTAGTTCCTGTACTGCCGAGGGGATATCCAAGACCAGCCCTAGATCCTGCATGAAAAAGCTGAGGAGCTTGTAAGGACCCCCTGTTATCAAATGAAGGTGACTGAGGGGTGCAAGGCCAGGTGGGCCTGTGTGAGAGCCCCTGACATCAAATACAGATGTCGGGGGGATGGAGACCGAGGGGCCTGTGTGATTGCCCCCGACATCAAATAAAGATGTCGGAGGTATGAAGGCCGAGGGCCTGTATGATAGCCCCTGGCATCAAATAAAGATGCCGGAGGGATGAAGGCTAGGCCGAGGGGCCTTTGGTGATGTGAAATCACGCTAAGGCAAAAAATCGTTGTGACGTAGAGTCACGCTGATGCCGAGGGCCTTTGGTGATGTGAAATCACGCTAAGGCAAAAACCGTTGTGACGTATAGTCACGCTGATGCCGAGGGGTTGCCTGCAATTATTGATGCGGGTTTTTTGAAGTTGTATCCCGGGGGTTCCTTGGTCCTCAATACGTTGAGGGCTAAGGGTTCCCGAGGGGTCTTCCCTTTGTGAAACCGGGGGCTCACTTTGGTGAGGGAGTGCGAAGGAGCAACCCGAGGGCATGTTTATTGCTTGATGAAGGAGTGTTTGGCCGAGGGGGACCCTCGGGTTCCCAGAATATGGCCGTTGTAATATGACCGTTGGAGATGGAGTCCACGTGGCGCATGGTCGTTGGCTGCCTGTGGGCGGGCGTCACCGGTTGGGCAACTCGACGGTTCGTGATGATGATTTTTCCATCGGGTGCCCAATTTCCGGCCCAAGCCCGGATTTGAGTGCCTATAAATACCCCAAGGCCAGGGGCCGTTCTCCTTGTGTGATCATTGTAGCGAAGCTCTGACAATTTGATTTCTAGATAGAGAAAACCCCCCTCAGACAAAATCAAAACCCCCCAAGGTCAGTTGTTCCCTTTGTTCTTGAGTTCCTTAGGCAAAGTGCTAGAGTTGTTTAGGAAGTCTTCGGTTTTAGAAACCCTTCTGCTTTAGTGTAAGAAATGTCATCCCAAAGCGATTCACAATACATCTCGAGGGAGCCCTCGATTGATGATGAAGTGGTTTCCGATGTGGAATCCATAAGCGAGCCCTCGGCTGGTGACGATGCTGCTGTGGCTATGGAGATGCAGAAGGTCCTCGTCACCGAAGCCGAGGCCGAGGACTTTGAGCAGGTGATGGAGGACGAGGAGCTCGCCCTCGCTGTGCAGACTGCTGAGGAAGAAGAGGAGAAGGAGAGAATGAGGGTGACTGTCGCTGTTCTTCCCCCTCGCGATGCCGGTGAAGCGAGTAGCTCCCGGCCGCTGAACCCGACGCCTCTCAGGGGGGCTCCCGGGAAGAAGAAGAAAACGAAGGTTGCCGCTCCCAAGAAGAAGGACAGGGTTGCTGACCAAGGAAAACCCGTTGATATGCCCGAGGGCTATTCTTTTCTGAACACCTCCTCCCTCGAGATAACGTCGAAGGCTGACAGGGCGGAGTTCTATGTCACCCAACTGCATGTGGGGCCTTCGGCGACGGTGGTCCCGAAGATGTCTTGTCCCGAGCCCCCGAAGGGTGTATAGCAGTCCATATACTCTCAGTTTCCATGGGCCTTAGGTTCCCATTGCATCCCTTCCTTCGGGAATATCTCAGGTACGTTGGCCTAGTCTCCTGCCAACTAACCCCCAATACCCATTCATACATTACCGGGTTCTTGAATCTCTGCCGGCTCAGGGGGGTGGCCCTCAGTTTGGACTTATTCTTCCAGAGTTTCAATCTCTGTCGGGGAGGCCACGCGAATGTCGATGGCTTCTCGAACCTGCAGCAGATAGCTTAGTGGAAGCTTTTTACCGAGGCGCCGTCCTCAACAAAGGGTGGAAGGAGCGGTGGTGCTACGTCAAGCTAGACCAGAGTCCATTCCCGAGGGAGCTGCGAGACCGATTCAGGCAATATGAGAAGGTGAGGAACGCAGCCCTCGAGAAAGATGGCCTTATACTCGCCAAGATCCCGGAGGGGCGTAATAAGAACGTGGCGATCAAGGAGTGCACCCTCGAGAAGGATCTGCATGCTCTCGGGTTCCGACGGTACCGTTTTCTGGGGGAAACAGATGAAAAGTACCTAATCTTGGATAGGGCCTTCGGGGGAGCGGGAGGTAATAACCGAGGGCTTTGAGTCTTGTACTTAGGAAATTTTGCGTCTTTTGATTGTCTGTTCATGCTTTCTACCCCTTGGTCTAACCCCCCTTTTTTTACAGGTGCAAATATGAACACTGATGCCCTCTTCGCCATGAAGAAGAAGAAGGGGAAAGCCCCAGCTAAGAAGAGGGAGCCCCCTACGGCTGCTGACGCCTTCTTCCCGAGGGATCAGGTGGAGCCCTCTACGGTTGTCGCCATGGGTGGCCCTCCAGCCGATGTGGCCGCGAAGAACAAGAAGGCCGGGGAAGGGGGAAGCCCCCCGGCAAAGAAGCAGAAGAAGGCTGGGGGCACCGCAGAGAAGGCGGCCCTCGTGGTTCTTATTGAGGAGCAGTCCTCCTCTGAGCCTCCGGTCGTTGATGAGCTGGCGGCTCCTCCCGACCCCCCTCGGGAGATTTTGCAGGTTCCCCTTGTCAAGGGGACCGCCGTGATGCATGGCACGATTCAGCCGAGGGCGTTCCTAGGTAGCATGACCTCGGCCCTAGACAGGAGGGCCCTCGGGACATATGACGATGAGGCCCTCGAGAACAAGATCCTCCGGTCGTCGCACACTGTAAGAACCTTCCCTTCGTCCCTGTTTCAATACTTAGCATGTGCTTGTCTAACCCCTTTGCTTGTTGTGTTTCAGGCTTGCATTGCCCTCGGTGAGCAAGCTCGAAGGCTCGAGCAGTGGCGCCTCCATAAGGCTGAGCAGGACGAGGAGGTGAAAGAGCTCGTCCATAAGAATTCTGACGCCATAAAGCAGATGGCTCAATTGCAGGAGGACCTTTTGCTGGCGAGGGTGGAGGCTGAGAGGGTCAGGGCAGAGAGGGCCGAGGCCGAGAGGATCCATGCCCAATCCATGAAGAAAGCCGCTGATGAGGCTAAGGCTGCCGAAGGCGAGGCTGTGGCCAAAGCTCGAGAGGATGTCGTCGCCGAATTTATCACCGAGGGCTGGAGGGCCGAAGGCCGAGAGGAATGGATCACTTCGGTGGTGAAGGCCTCGGTAGATGCCTAGGTGG